AAAATTTGTTTTTTAGAATAACGATGGCTATTTTTCTATTTAACATTTGTGCTATACCTGACGTATTTTCGAAGCTTTTGTAAGCTACGCTGTCTTTGTATTTCATTTGTCCTCTATATTTTGTATTAAATATTGGTCGGATGAGAAAAGAAGAGGAGAGAATAGGGAACCTTAAACCACTGTCTGCTGAGTACCCGGAGAAGCCTGAGTATCCGTCCCAACCTGTCCTGGGTGTAATTTGAACCCTCCTTACACAAACCCGCTCTCGGAGACCGGGTGATCAAGAGCAAATATATTTATTTAAAGATATATTTTCTTAATTAATATATTATTTAATATATTGTTTTTTTATCTGTATATATCAGACATAATTCTAAACATAATTATTTTCTACTCAAAAATTGAATTAAAACAACAGAATAAACATTTTCACATCAATTTAAAAAAATTGGTTTTCCGGACATTTTTCCTATGTTTCAAAAATATTTTAGAATTTTTTTGTACACCGTACACTGTACAGTGTATACTTATCACACATCTGTGATGTCAGAAAGACGGCAACACAATTATTACACTGTCAAAATTTCTATCTCATAGCTTAAATTAACCATATAAATTCACACTAGTCTTTCAAAGCAATGTAAAAACAGAACCCTTAAGTTATGAAAACACAAACCAGACTTACATCGAAAATTAAAGATTTAATATTTTGATAATCTAATTCACATTTTACCTTAATTTTCACTTTCCAAGTCTAAGAAAAAGGCGTTTTTATTATTTTATACCCTATAGCTGTGCACATTGATTAACTAAGGTTCTTTGTCCACATACTATCTATTATATTATATGAATATATATATATAAACTGTGCTTTGAGCAACTAAAGTAAGATATTTTCTTTGTTAGTTTTTATGTTCCCATCTATCCCAACCTATCCTAGCATACTTCTTTTTATTCTGAATCTCCTTCATACCTTCTCCTTTACCCTTACAACTCTACTACATTCTTTCTTCTAGAAGTATAGAAGAGTAAGGGGTTATTCACATTTTACGCTGACGTTAGACCAGACCTGAAACTAGTTTTAGTGTAAAAATATTCAGTTCTATCAGTTGCTTGAAAAACAACTTATTAATTGAAATGGGTTTTGTGTAAACTATTTCAAATCATAACTGAGTCTAGCAGTCGCGTCGTCTTCCTATTCCACTGTGTTATGAGTCTCAGTATAGCTTTCTGAAGACATTTTTTACCCTTCATCCTATGTTATTTAAAACATTTCTCAGCTGAATTAATTTTTTAATTAAAATTAAAATCAAATTCTTTTTTCATCCAAAATTTGTACAATCTTCAGAAATTTAAATTACAAAATAATGAAACCTCTAATGATAAAACGAAGGAAAAAAGACAATATACATGCTCCAGCACCCCCCCCCCCCCCCCCACCTAGCTTTATCTCTCACTAATCCTCCCCTCCCCTCTTAAATTCTTCAAAAATACAAATAATAGCAAAAACACATTAAGAAAGAATAACATAAATATTCCTGTTGTACTAAACAACACTTACACAGTCACACAGAGTTGAAATATTAGAATATTCAAAGTTTCAAAACGAAAGCAATTATTATTTTAAGAGTTTGTGAATTTAAAAGGATGAATTTTTGCTTAAATTCTGAATCAGAATTTTCTTAATGAAAATGTGATTTGTGAAGTATAAAAATATGCAAAACTAAGAATTTAGAAATTTAGAAAAATATTTTTGGTACAACTATTTCTTTTATAGCGTCAAATGCTGTCTTTTTTACCAAAAAAAATTAAGTTTTGTTAAATTTAAAGTTTTGATAATTGTGTATGTTACGCAAAAAATCACCTATTGAAGATGGAGATTTTTTGCATATAAATTTAACTAGCCTGAAGGGCAGAAAAATCAGAAAGAATGTCTAAAAAACTGAAAACCTGAATCCTGCTCTGCTTGGAGATGATTGAAACCCGATGTGGTCTAGCACAGCACCCTGTGTATAAAATCTCGCATATGCTCTACAAAGACGTAGTCGTTTACTGTGGTTCGTTCCATAAGCAAAAAGAAAAAGAAGAGGGAATAAATACAAAAGTATAAAATCTAAAATGATAAGCATAAACATACATGGATAAAACTACAAATTATTTGTCAACATCAAAAATGGTTTAAGCGTAGATTCTTTAGCTCAATTTGCCGGAAAAGTGAAATTGGTGTTGCTGCATTTTGTGTTGAGATTCATCAAAACAATTCCAATTCAGACATTAACCCATCTCATTTTATAATTCATACCTATGTTGCTCCTTACAGACAAAAAATACTTGGTGTAGCTTCAAGCCTTTAAACCTTTTTCTTCTAAAGCATTGCATAGGTTAACCCTACCTAAATTTTTACTTTACAATACCTTCGATATGCGGTTAAGGTTTTAGTTTTACCGTACAATTCACTCCCCCTAGTTCAACTTAGGCCGTTCCTACCATAAACTACACAACTTGACGTCTCCTATGATGGTCGTCAAGACTCAAGTGTACGGAGAAATTATCTATTTATCAGATAAGAATTAAGCATGAGACATCTGGCGGCCAACATATCGTTTCTTAAAGTACGTAAACTACACGACCACTATCTATGGAGAGAGAGAACGGGCTTGGCATTGCACAGTACGCTTAGAACTGCGTCTACTTGGGCCCTGGCTTTGGCTTATCTGATCCAAAACTACCTTTGAGCCCTGGAATAACAAAACAGTTTATATATGTTACAAAAAATACTATAATTAGCCTCAATTAAAACAGATTTATGGCACTTTGCCTAACTTAACATCATTAATTTTTTTTCAATTTCTAACTTTGCCCGCCTTTTTTTATAAACAATCCTTAGGGATTATCAAAGATTGCATGTACAATATGCATGAATGAGAGGAACTAGAGTATAGAATGACATGCCTTGAAATGGTACATTACCGTACTAATTTATAATAATTGATAAATACTTCTGATCTTTGATAAACTTTGTCTAAAAAAATTGTTAATAATTCTTTATTACCTGTAAAAACCAGGAGATTTAAGGAAACCTGTGATGTATAGCGGAGGCTCTTACTGCATGATCCGGAGGCTTGTACTGCATAGCAAATCCGGGAGCCTCGTTTCTGCATTGCAGTGGCTCATGGCGGCCGGGGGTTCCCTCCCAAACAACAGACATTGTTATTAATTTACAGTGGGAGTGGGACTAAAAAAACTGCCAAAAGTAAAAAGTCGACTTTAAAAAAAAAAAATATGTTATCAGTTTACACTCTTATTACACATACACTGCGTTTCAAGTTATTATGCCAGAAAATTTATTTAAAATTCCGACTCAGAAATAATTTTTTTCAAAATCTCCATTTTACAAAAAGGTGTCCTTCAATGGAAACTTGGTTATTTAAATCACAGAAAAATGGGAAATAAAGGTGATCTGGAATGAAGGGAGTAAAGGGTAAAAAACAAAAATTATCAAGAAATTTAACTTTCTGCCTGTACATATACATTTAAAACGGAGATCACTGTAAAGATCTTACGTAAAGGCTAAATAGTAAAAATGTAACCTTAAGATGACTTAATTGAGAATAAAGATAAGCAGAACACCCGAGGCTACCAGTTTAAACCATGTTTGAGATCGCTATTTTGAATATTTCGCACAGGGCGACGCATTGTAAATTGTGACAATAATGAAAAAAATAAGAAATTTGCCACTCCTGATCAAACGACACAAGTAAAAAAGAGTCAAACGGGCCTCATCATATGATAAGCTGGACTTATCAAAAGTCGTCTTTACAAGCTAGTGCATGCCGTGAGATACTTGATGGCCCAGACGGTTGGGCTATAGGTTTGGGTCTAAAAACCAGGAGCGTAAAAAGAGCCAAGTGCGTGGGATGGGATCTCAGCTGGATCATCGTGGAAGAGATCATTGGACCAATCATGGTTGAAGAAATCTGAATTCTGAGGTTCATAAAAAGCTTGTATTCCAACAAGGTAATACTCCCTGGCATGCATTTATGGAGAACATGGGTTGGCTTGCTAATCAAGGATTCAGTGACAAAAAATTAGGGTCAAAAAGGCAAAATGCCCTTATTTAAATCCCATAAGGTTCTTGTAGGCCATCCTGAAGAAGAAAGTTTACCACTCTGGTAGGGAGAGTTGTGGGTTGTTGTACAGACAGCTGAAGCTAGTGTTAGGCCAGAGCAAATAAATAAAATATAACCAATTCCATGAAGAAGAGGCTCCTAGGGGTCAACATGAGGTCATGCAGGAGGCAACATAGAAATGTAATTTCATGTTGAGGATTTTTCTTACTTTTTTTTTGGTTGAAATATAATTTTCCATCATATGTATATAAGTATTTTAAAGTCATCTACATAATAACTTGAAACAATTGACAATTGTTTTTCATATTTTTCATTTTTTTTAATCTAAAATGCAAAAAATTAATTAAATGTTTATTTTTTCTTCATGAAATTAAAAGTCAATTTTTTGTAAAAATCTATATCTTAAATTTTGTCTTCCTATTCCTTTACGCCTTAAAAAACCTATTTGTATAATAACTTGAAATTTTGTATATAGTTTATTGATTTTAAGTTAAAGATTTTACAGTTATTATGTTGATAAGTTTGCAAGATTATACTTTTTTCCACACTTCAATATTCGGAATTATTTTTCATTATTTTTTATCGTAAGTAAAAAATTAAGTTTTTAGAGATTTATCAAATAATATAATATTTTATCTTAATTTATCATATTTTATGGGTTTACATAATCAAACTTAAGCCTAAATATTTCTATCGCTAATAAAAATAAATTTTCAAAACTGTTCCTGAATCTTTAGTGTGGAAATTTGATAAGTTCTAAAAGTTAAGAAACAATAAACTAAAAATTATTTTTAAAATACAGAAAAGCTACGAAAAGAGCTATTTCTTTGATAATCATAACTCTCTTTTCTCTCATTTAAAAACATGAAATATAAACTGTATATTTTATTTAAAGCCATCACTGCGTAAAAAACGTCTCTATGTATACTGGAATGGTGAAGTGCAGTGTACTGCAGACAGTGTACATAGCTAGTGTACATGAATATTTGAGCTGAGAAGAGCAGTATAAATCTCATGGAATTGCGAGCACCGACATTTTTGGACTACATTTGCGTGAGATTTCACATTTGAAGAAGCACACAGAGAGAAAACTTATAAAATGAAAAATATTGCTCTATTTTGAGATTCATCTTCCCTATGTACACAAGGATAATGCCCGAAATCCCAAAATGATTAATATCAACGGTTTCAAAAATATTTCGAATTATTTTTAATTTGAACAATATACAGCTGAAAGAAATTATGCCTTTTCTAAAACGAGGCCTGATTGTTTAACTGGTATTTTCACTGAGTTGCATTGAATATATTAGGCTCGAAAGTTGACAGATGACTAGACTTGATCTTTTGTAGCTCCCAGTCCAGCTTAGACGATATTCTATATAATGTTAACATGGCGAAAGCAGAAAAATTGAATTAAAGCGGTATTAAAAGAAGCATTGATGAAGAAAGCATAGAATTTTAGGATTATAATCTTTTTTATGTCTTTGGCGCGGCTGTAACAAGTTTCATATTATAAAAAATATTAATAATTGGTGGTTTTTGAAATTTTCATTTATGTTCATTTAATTTCATATCTAAATTGTTTGTAACACATTTGCATGATCATTGTTGTAGTTAACCATTTTGTTTTAGTTGCTCATTTTTACATCAATCTTTTTGGATAAATAACTATAAACTATACGATGAGTATTTTTACATAATTGGCACATATGAATTCACATATTTCTCAGAGTATACTATTTATATATATATATAACACAGAAATAATAACTATAAAACGTATGGGGGGGTCTGAAAAAAGCGTCCAGTTACTTTATGCTAGAAAATCCTCCTCCACTTTGCGTACTATCATACTTACAAATAGAAGAACAATGAAAACCTGGGAATACTTATTTTGATTTTAATTAGAACGCTAATTTCAAATCCCCCTTTGCTAGAATTAGATCTAGCTTCCAAAACCCCCGCTAGAGGGATCTGAAGGTTGCATAGAGTAATCATCAACTCATCACATCTGTCGCTGAGGAAGGATTTGCTCGACCTCGGACATCGAGATCGGAAAGATTTTGGCACAAGTGCAAAAAATAATTTTTTGCTTAAATATATTTATAATATGTAGGAAAATAATGCCATCATCGAAGACTTTGTTTTGACGCTCAGTAACTGGTAGTTTGGCAAAATTCTCCAAAAATGCATTTTAAAACCATTTCACAGATTTTAGCCACAGATAAATTTACCGTATTCAATTAACCAAGTTTTCCATGGTTTCCTGCTTGATGGTTTGGTTTGGCAAGTTGGCGGGTTTGCAGTAGGAAAACCTATGATTAATATGCTGGGAGTAGGATCCAGAATGAGAAAACCTTTTCAGGCATTTAGGACACTGGAACGGTTTCTCCCCACTATGAAGTCGTCTGTGCTCGGTGAGATGGTGTTTATGTTTGAAAGCCTTGTCACATTCAGCACATTTATGTGGACGTAGGTCTGAAATACAAATATTATCTTTATTTTTTTTTAAATCTTGAAATATATATATATATATCATATATTTTATACTGTAAACTTTTAATTATTGAAAAATGAAACTTTAAAATATTATATAGGTCTGAGAAAATATAATGATTACAGTTCACATGAATTTTTTTTTACTTATAAAATTTGAAATTTCAGATTAAAAGGTGAACAAAATTGAATGTAAAGAATTGGGTTCTATACGCGTACTCTGATTTTTATACACCATAAGATGGCAAACATATATACTATTTAGGGATTGAAAAATTTGAGTTTGTGGCAAAGACTCAATTTTGTTTTTATCATTATCAAAATTGAGATTTCAGAAAAAAAAAATTTTAAATTAAATGTAAATTTGATTTTATCATCATCATAAGGACAGTTCTTTTTTTCTATTTGTTTTTTATTTCTATAATTGTATTGACTGAATCTATCAATTGCAGTAAAAGATTGGAGAAGATGATTGAATTGGTAATTTCATTTCGAGCTTAGGAGATTTTTTCTTTCCTCAGTACTAAAAATTATTAGATTTGGAAAATACAGAAAAAAAGTTTCTATGTAAGCTGTTGTTTTTTTCAGTCATTCAAAAAAATTTAAATATTTTGCTAAATAAGAGTAAATAGTCTCAAACTCTGCCATGACATTTTTATAAAAACGTCTTTTCCATGATGTAATGATTGATTCGAACGTATACTGCTTTTTTTGTAGTTTTATGATATTGTCAACCTATAAGTTCTAAATTTGGTAAAAATATAAAATTTAGTGTAAACAAGATTGAAATATGATCAATCTCAATCAATTGAGTAATCTAGCTTATTTTCAGGGGTTAATGTTTCAAGAAAAGTAAACAAAAATTTTTTTACAATTAGAAATTTTGTAATTTTTATAGAAAAATATTTTTTTTTGTAAATTATGCAGTATAAACACCCCTGAAATGTTTCTAGGTAACAGATCAGAAACTTCAAGCTTTAAACACTTTAATAAATCAACTCAAACCTGAAATATTAAGCTTTACTTTTAAGAAATTTTAAAATGTTCAGGTTTAGAGTAATAAAAAAAACATGTATTAAATCAAAATCTTAAGCTCTGGAAAAGTTAAAAAAATGCATGCGTAAAAATGTTTAAAATGAATGAGTAGTGTGTACTCTATACATATTTTTAAATATTTGAATACCATTATTGGTATTACAAGGATCTCACCTGAATGCTCATATTTGTGTCTTGTTATTGAACTCTTTTTAGTAAATGTTTTATCGCACTGATCACAATTAAATAGTCCGGACTGATCTTCCTCTGGTCTTACATCCCTTCGTAGAACAGACTCAACCACGTCTCGATCTGGAGTTAAATTTACCAGCTTTTCCCGGATCATTTGCTCGAAACTTCGTTTGTTACAATATTCATCTTCCTCTTCCTCATCTTCCTCTTCCTCCTCCTGCTTCATAAAGAACTCCTCCTGGGTGTTCTCCTGCTCGGCAACTACAAGGGGAGGTGGGGTTGAACTCGGACTTAGTTGCTGCTTGGTTGTAAGGTCCAGGGGCAGGTTATCTCTCCGGTGTATCAGGTCTAGTGGAATCAGATCTCGTTTAGCTCCAGGTGGTGGAGTACTACCCGGAGACTGGAGTATAGAACCAATAGACGGTGGAGGGGTTGGATATTTCGGAGAGGACGATACAGGATGCTTTCCTTCTCTTCTATCCCGGGCTCGGGAGTTTTGAAACCAGACCTTGACAACCTTGTAAGGATGTCCTATTGTATCAGCGATTTGGAGCAGTTCTTCCTTCCTTGGCATAGGATTGATCTTGTAACAGCTTCTTAAAATTCCTAACTGCTCCTCAGATATCAAAGATCGAACTCGGCTCTTTTTCTCTTCCTTTTCAGTCATCTCAATATCCGGTTCTATGTATAATGTATCTTCGTCACTTATTCCGTCACTGTCGTAGCTATTGTGCCGTAAACCTAGTTTCTCCGGAGCCGGCCAAGGTCGAGGGATCATCGAATTCCATCTGAGGAGGTTATCCTCTAGGAGGGATCTTGTAACAGCAAGATTTACATGCTCCAGTAAGGTTCTAAGGTTTCCAGTTTCAGGGTTCAGTATTCCTCCGTTCAATCCGTTTATTAGGCTCATGTTGGCGAGTAAAGCCTCTGCCATGGCAGGTTTTCTTGTCTCCGGTCTCTGCAGTCCACAGAGGAGTGAAGTTAAGTGTAGTCGGTCTAACACTCCTTGTGGTTCTTCTGTTTTTAGAAGGTTACCTAGACCGAGAGAATGAGGGAGAAGGAAGGACGGAAAACTATGTTTAAGATCTTGGATAGGCTTAGAACTAGAATCTGGAGTGGGAGAAGGTGAGGACTGAAATCTATCCGGAAAAGATTCAGGAATGATTGAAAGCTTCTTGGCGAATGAAATCGGACCGTCCTGGACTGGAGAATGGAGGTCGTCGGAGCTACAGTGGAGGTTTTCATACGTATTTTCCATCTTAAAGCTGGTGGATTCATCGTTTGAGGAAGGTTTCCCTCCTTGACACTTCCTGGACGTCATATGCGAGGAGTAGGAACCAGAATGAGAAAACCTTTTTCCACAGAAGTTACACTCAAAGGGTTTGTCTCCAGTATGGATTCTGACATGCTCCTGAGCAAAAATAAAATCAATTTTGCTGTTAAGAATAAGGAAATAATAGCAATTTTGCGACAAAAAACCAAGAGGTCCAAAATTTACCTTCAAGTGGTGCTTAAACTTAAAAGCTTTTCCACAATCTGTACATTTAAATCTCCTCTGGACCGCGGAGTCATCATGGCTTATCATGTGTCTTTGCAACCTATACACATTTGCAAACTCCTTCTTGCACACCGAACACTGCTAAACAAAGATATTTTTTTAAACTATCAAAACATTAGTAGAGAAAAAATATGTGAACCGTTTAAATTCTAAATTTTATTTTAGATGATTCTTTGATCTTTTCTTTTTCATCATATATATTTAGATAAACATGATAACTACAGGAATCTTTTCCAAACATTCAAATTTTCTAATCCCTAAATCTTTGTAACCTAATGGTATAAACCTTTGATATTTCAAGCTTAGATTATTTAATCAAACATTAATCATTTATATGAAATATATAATTTCTACGACATTGGGTTGCAAAGATTTAGGGATGAACCAGAGTTTGTGGCAAAGACTCAATTCCTTTTAAAACTGAAGAATTTAAATTACCACTTGAGTATCTGCAGAGAACTCTTGTAGTTGTGTTGAGAGGTTTGAACCAGATGATTTCCAGTTGAGGGTAGAGGGTTGAGTAGGGTAGGGTTGAGGAGGAGAGGAGCAGGTATGGGGCTCAAGGGAGACCAGAGGTACTCCACAGAGTCCACACACAACACACTCTAGAGAAGAGTTTTATTTTATTATTATTGTTATTATTATCATTATTATCATTATTTTTATTATTATCATTATTAAAGAAAACATATTCAAATGAGACATGGACACTGGACAGATCTCAATAACAGATCTTACAACCCATTTTTACAAGGCTGCAAAGTTATATAGAACTAGGAAAGAAAAGTTGCAAATGAGAACACAAATGTAAAGAAATTAAATGTATTCGCTTTATTGATGGAGAAGGTAAAAATTGAAGGCAGAAAGATATTAAATATTGAATACCATTATCCGGGTTGTGTGCTGGCAGGATGGTTATCATGGTTTTGTCAGGACTTCCTCCGGGACTTCGAGAAGTGTCGCTTAGGCTCAATAGAGCTTCCACGGTCTCCATCTTATCATCCTCCAGGCCTGGCTCCAGGGAGCTTAAACTTCCATTATAATTGGACTGAAGGGAGCTGTTGTTCGGAGTCATAATTATTTGAACTTCCTTTTTGTTCAAGTTTTGATTGGACTCAGGGGTTCTCAGGGTTTCACATTGAACTGAGAGTTTGGATACATCGTCTGATCTCTCCTGTAGGATAGGTTTGGAATTATCTCCCGGGTAGCTTGGCAAGGGTTGGGGTGAATCTGTTCGGTCTGGGAAGGGCGAATCTGACCCCTCAGTTGGATGGGGAGATCCTGACCCCGTGTCGGAGTCTGGACTGGACGGTGAGGGTTCGCTGTCTACACCGCTGTCGGTTGTGCAGTCGGTTTCAACTGAAAAAAAATTAATATTATTGTTATTTTTATTTCGTGAATTTAAAATTTTTTATCCCTCTACTTTAATGATTATTAAAAACTTTTTGGGTGTGCCGCTATATCTTTTTGTTTGTTAAAAATCACATTTGCTGACTTAATAATTAATAAATTTTGAATTATACGACAGTAAACCCTCCAATGACAGGTAAGGGGAGGTGGCCCAGAGTTACATTCATTGGTTGTAATCAGGCCAGGTGAGTTCTGATTGGCCTTCACCTGGGGTACAGGACCTGTGTACCTGGATTTAGCTGGGATTGGTTCAACTAGTTTAATTGCTTAGCTCTCATTGGTTGGTTTGTCAGGGCAGGTGGTTGGGCGGAAATGGTTCATTATAAAAGGACGTGGTGGGGAGAGGAGGGTTGGGACAGTTTAACGGTCTTAACAGAGTACAGACAGACAAATAGTTAGTTAGACAAAAACAGAAAATATTTTCAAAATGGAAGACTCTAAAATTGATAGAGAAAAGAGATTAAAAGACACTTGAAATTGATAGACACTATAGAAGAATAATGGACATATCTAGATAAAAAGCTGAAATTTAATTTTAAAAGGATATTTTGCGCAGCGTACTTTATTCTAGTGCGCTATTTTTCTATTGACAGTTTTTTATTAAAATTATGTCAACACTATATTCAAGAAAGAAAAAAACTTGGCAAACCTGTATTTAATATAAACAAGATACAAACTACTTTGAAATATTCAGACAGTGTAGTAGTGTGTACCTACGTTAAAAAAATATTGAAACTGAATCGTTTTTTAGAAGAAATATTTTCAAATATAGAATAAAAAGTTCCAAAACGTGATATTGATTTTATCATGTTTGAAATGACATTTTTTCTATAGGAGTGGTATATTTTTTTTTTGGGGGGGGGGGCTTTAATTTTCAATAGCTGTGGAAGTGATTAACCTGACTTTTAAATGTTTTGCCAAACTTTAAACTTCATTAATAACTATTCAAGTGAGTTGCTTCAACGATATATCCTGATATATATTAATGAATTAGACGTGTTGTCAGTAGTTATCTATCTAAATGCAAAGTTAAGAAGCTTGTTCTTGGATTTGCGTAAATTATATAATATATATATATATAGTTAAATAGTTTTTCTGAATTTCTTATTTTTTGTATTTTTACTTATATTACTTATTTGGCATGTGGAATTAAAACTCTTGTTCTAACGAACGCAGATCATAAATTTAAGGAAAAGACTCTTGTTCTATATTTGCAGTCACGAGGGAACCCCTTTCCCGCGTAACGGAGAGAAAATACACACTTTCCTTACTATTTAAATTGTTAAAGTTTCCCTTTATTATATACAAATATATTATATACAGATATTGTACAATGTACATTGCACATTATATACAGATATTGTAGAATGTACAATGTACATTGCACATTATATACAGATATTGTACATTGCACATTATATACAGATATTGTAGAATGTACAATGTACATTGCACATAATGTACAATGTACATTGCACATTATATACAGATATTGTAGAATGTACATTGTACATTATATACAGATATTGTACCATGTACATTGCACATTATATAATTTACTTGGAGTTTATAATTTGAAACTAGAAGGCTGAAGGTGTGTGATGTTAGTGACGCTATGACGCTGAAACCCCAGTTAGGGTCGGTCAATCTTTAAAAGCTTTTTGCGTCTCCCAACTTACCCCCTAAAGGAAGTTCAAATACTGATTTAATCCACTTTTTCTTCAAAGGGAATTGAGTTTTTGCCAAAAACGTTGTTTATTTTTTATATCTTTGTAACCCGATGTCGTAGACCTTTGACATTTCAAACTATGACACCTATTATATCTGATATAATATTGAAGTCACAATGGTTTATACAATCAGGTTCTAAAGATATTGTAATTAGAAATTTTGAGTTTGTTGCTATATAAGAATAAAATACTAAAAAGCACTATAATTGTGATAATTCGCTGTTCAAATCACAATCACTAAAATATTTACACTTAGTAAATATATGATTTTGCAAAGTTTTTTCCTTTTCTTCTTAAGTCTTAAAAAATTTCTATGTAGGAACTATTAGATACTTAGTAGATAGTTAATAGATAGTGAATAGATAGAAAATACATTAAAATACATTCTATCAACGTACAACTTAAAATATCACATCAAAATTTGAGAAAACATCATGTATTTTTATAATTTTAACTTTGTATCATGTCATCCATATATATATATAAAGTTGTAATCTTTAATAGCGAAATATTTCCCCTTAAAATCGTTCCAGTGCGGGTAAACGGCGGAAATAACTTTTAGTAACCTTGGCTGGGTTCCTAAGCTAGTTTCATATATTTTTTAACTTTACCATAGTGAATTTGAGAGCTTAATTGAAGGCCTTTAGAGTCATGCACATTATTTCACACGTTTATTGAACAACTATTTTTAACTTCTAGGGTCAGGCTTATCCACTGCCATTTTTAAAATTTATTTTTTTGTTTTGCTTTCAGGTACAATCTTTAAAGCTGAAACTTTTACGGCTCGTGGAGTAATTTAAAAATGAAAAGTTTACTTTTCTATAAAATTGACAGGACAAATTTTCCGCATAGATGAACACGGGTTGGGAGGGTCAAAAGGCGGAACTTTTATAGGGTTTAGGGACTTCCTCAGAGAAGTAGATATATCAAATAAAGGCATTGAGTCAGGATGGGAATAGATATTCTAAATAATTAAGTAATGACCTAACTTTAAAACTTGAACACTACCTTGGGACATTCCTAACAAATTTTTTCCAATCAGCTTGAAATATTTTGTTTCAATTACTAGGTCTGTCCTAAGTTTGAAAATTACAAAAAAAGTTTAAGATATCCAATCCAATAAGGTAACATCATAAATTGCATTTCAACTTCACTTAACTTAGGATCGAGAATATTTTTTAAACGTAAATGATCTCTACTAAATAAACGTAAATGATCTCTACTAAATAAAACTGATTTAAAGATGGGTTAAGACACGTTTCTCACCATTTACATGCAGCAGAAAATATACACATAAATGTAGTGTATATCTCTTTAATTTTGTATGTATCTTTTTAATTAAATACGTATATTTATATATTAAAAGATATATATATATATATAACTAATAAAGCAATAATCAGAACAGCTTCTCCGTTTTCATATTTATTAATACAAACTGTTTCAGATCTCTCGATCCTCATCAGTCAATAAACATGGGTTATACATATTATATATTTATATACATATATATATTTATATTTACGATATATTTTTTTGCAGCAGACTAGTATTAAAATATATTTGCAATTAGCTGTGTGTTGATATATCTTAACTCAAGTATTTACAGAGTGTTATATTTCCATTAGCAGTAGGGTCAGCCTCAATACCTGGATATTTCAGGTATATTTAGTATGGTCATCCCTTATATCTCGGGGCCGGCCATTGAACCTGGATATTCGGTTTATTCTCTGAATTGTGGAGTAATAGGTAGATTCAGTAGGGTTAGCACATAAACCAATTTGGATTGGGGAACTGGTTTGAACCGAAGAAATTTTCATGGTCTGGTTCAGCAATTCTAATTGAGTATAAGGAAATTTCAGATTTCCAGAAAAGCCTGATCTTTCCAACTTAGGATATCATTTATTAAGTAGGGTCAACCTGAATATTTAAGGTATATTCATTGGGTAAACCTGGGGTTTTAAAGTAGTTTTAAGAAATTCCTTCAGATCCCTAGATAACCAAACAAGACTATAATTAATTTGTATTTCAGGTTTAAAATAGAAGGGCCTTCCTCTGAATCGATCGCCTATATCTACACTAACGAACTCATAGTACTTGTCCATAATTTATTAAATTGTTTTGGAAAAATATATTATTGCAATATTTGCTTGGCCGTATTTTTTGCGCCTGTCAGAATGTCAATATGTTGGAGGGGAAAAAGTTTATCTCTTCTGAAAGTTTCTCTCAAACGTAGAAATAATTTGATAAAGACCTTCACATGGAGCAAAACATATCTTATCAAATCTAATCAAATCAAATATATACACCGTAGTCGCCGAGCTTTGATCTTTCAAAACTAAAAAAAGATATAAACTCTTTAAATGCGTGTAATATTTTGGATACAAAAAATTGAAATAATGATCTCGACCAAAACAGTAGTTCGAACCTTTAAAAATCCTACTTACAGTGAGTTGAACTAATAGGAAATAGGTGAGCTAGCATATTGAATAGATCACGTATGTTTAGATTATCATGAAGCAGGTTTTTAACGATTGAGCTTGATATCACATGTGTCCTGTCCTAGCTCCGGTATTGAACTGAACTGAATAGTGAATACACACATCTGCCTAACACACCTATACCGTGTAAACCCCAATATATACCCATCTGGGGATATAGAGGTGACACACCGGGTTGGACAGACAGGGGCAACATCAGCCTGGTCCCTACTGTTTATGTCAGCGGCGATACAGACCCCCCCCCCCCCCCGACATTACTAAATACCTGGTCTCCCCTAGTTATATACAATAGACGTGCAACCAAACATGCTCATTGAGATTTAGTGCAAAATATTATACATTCAATTCATTTAGAACACTCAAATCTCGAGTGCCTGAAAGAGACTCTCTAACCTAGTGGAAAATAAAATTTTAGGCATAACAGACGCATTTAACAGAACAGTTTCTAACCACTTTCATCCTCCTATAATCATATAATTTTGAAACCAACTCGTTCTTAATTTTTTACTTGTTTCTTGCTATAATGTCTTGCATAAAATCTTTCACCTCTTTTTCTACTTTCCCCTCCTTTCACAAACCCTTTCTACTTCCCTGCCTCCCACTCCTTGTTGTTTACCCATTAGAAAAGGGTGAAACTTAACTAAATACAAGAAATTTTGCATTTCACTATTTATTTTGTTTTTCATAAAAATCGTCTTGTTACAGCAAAAAAAGGTAA